TTAATGGGAAAGGCCGATATCCTCATTAGTGGCGTAACCCTTCGACTAGGAACACGTTTAACAGTTATAATACTTAAGTAAATATCTCACGATCCTAACGATCAATTACTAGTACTTGTAATAACTGTAAGGACTATATCTATGCTTGTGACAAAGGGACAAAGATATAGAATGCCAATGTGTTTTATCATTAATACGAATAAAGGTTCGTTTATTACAATAATAAATACGAAAGACCACAGCCACAAGTTGGCTTGTTGGTCACCTACTCTAACAAAGATTGCCAAGTGACTTCGGTCACTTTTGCTTGAAAATAAAGAAACAAACGTCCGACTGAAGACTTTAAACTTAGCGCTTCTCGGGAGGCAACCCGAGATTTTTAATGTTTTATTTATTTATTTATATATTTTTTTAGTCTTATTTATTTATTTATTTATATATATTTTTAGTCTTATTTATTTATTTATCATTTTATTTTTATAATAGCATGCTAACTAATGAACTAAGCGATTTTTTTATTTTTTTTGTCACGAGGAAAAGCGCAACTCTGATTCCCGCACGGGCGTCTCAAAACAAGGCCAAAATCTCATACGGCCGTGTGGAAATCGGAAAAAAGCTACTGCCCAATTTCGACGTTTCATACGGCCGCACCAAATTACCCTACAATCTCATACGGCCGCATGAAATGCTAAATCGCTACTCCCCAATTTTGGCGTTTCATACGGCCGTCCGAAAAAAACAATGTTTTTCTCCGGGCGGCCGTGGTAGTTCAAAATCGTACACAGTGAAATACGCCTATTGACACGGCTGTGAAAAAACAATTCAAAACCCAGCACGGCCGTGCGAAACGCAACAGGCGCATAATAAAGGCGAGGGTGGAGAGCAACCCGGAGATGGCCGAGACGACTAAGTCAGGTGTATTCTATCCTTAAACTTCGTGCTAATTACATTGAGGGCAATGTAAATTTTGAGTTTGGGGGTGGAAAATTACTTGTTTTTATGTGCTTTAATTTTTTAGTTTGCATGCCTTGGGATTTTTTGTTTTAGTTTAGTTGTTTTAGTTTATTTATTGCTTTCGAAAAAAAAAATTGTGGTTGAGATAAATGCTTCGATGAATCATGATGATGAAAGATGGTTAGTGTTTAATGATGAAATTGCTTGCTTAGCTTTATCTTGATTGTGATCGAATTTTGGTGAGCTTTTGGTTCAAAGTGTCGTAGGAAGGAGTCATTGTTAGGAATCACAAATTATGCCTTACTTTGGTTGAAAGTTTTTGTGTTTTAAAACGTGAAATTAATTTATGCTATATCATAAGCTATTCGGTTTTAGAACTTGCCTTAGGAATTTACAAAGTGAAATATTAAATTCTTGAGCTATTTGGGAAGTGATTTGGGCCATCTTTGAATCGTTTGAGCCTTTCAAGCCTACCTTTAAATTTTTATCATTCGAACCTTGATTGAGCCTTGGAGAAACGGTGTTCTTTTTTTTAGCCGAAATAAAGTGGGTAGATTAGATGGTGATTTCTTGATAAATTATCCATTGGAGCTTGGTTGGAGAACTTGTTACGTTTTCTCTTCTTCGTAAAAAAAAAAAAAAAAAAAAAAAAAGAAGAAGAAGAAGAAGAGAAATAGAAGGGGAAGAAAGGGCTAGAGAAAATCTCAAAGTGAAAAGAGAGAGAGAGAGAGAGAGAGAGAGAGAGAGAGAGAGAGAGAGAGAGAGAGAGAGAGAGAGAGAGAGAGAGAGAGAGAGAGAGAGAGAGAGAGAGAGAGAGAGAGAGAGAGAGAGAACTCGAACCATCATGTTAAGAGCAAAAGTGAAGACTTTTGAACTCTTAAACAAATTGAGTTACGTAATAAGTCCTTTGAGGTGAAGTAATAATTCCAAAAGCTAAATCTTAGCGAAAACACCTCGAGTCAAGAACGAGAGCTAAAAATTCCGTCAAGTGCAACTCTTAGTGACTAATTGTGAGATGAAAGGAAAAGAGTAGCCACTTTTACCCATATTTTCTACCTTGTACCAAAATCCAACATTTGAAAGCCAAAAAGTCCCAATGATCCCAATAGCTCAATGATTTGATACTAGCCGAGTAAAGAAATTTGGTGAGTCTTTGGAGTTGAATATTATTATGTAAGTATATATTTTCTCCATTTTTAATTTACAAATATGGGATACTTGAAGCGATAGCATGGTTTCTGGTTTTTGGCAAGGGTGAGTGAATACGTATCTTTGAATTACGAGCTTGTAAATTTTTGAGAATTGTCATGATAGTTGCAAGTTCTGAAAACGTGAAGTTGACCATTAATCTATGTGATGAGAGGCATTTGTTGAAAGTGTTGCTTTGAAAGTTGCTAGTTTTTGCTTGAGGACAAGCAAAAGTTCAAGTTTGGGGGTGTGTTGAGTGTATATTTTACACTCAATATATATTTTTTTTACGAGGATTTTTGTATAATTTGATTGATTTTATGGTGCTTAGTTCTTGGTTTATTGTATTTTAGGTACAATTTGAAGATTTGGGAGTTCCAAGGATGAAACGAGCGAAAAAAAGGTCAAAAACGGGCAAAAACGGAAGACCAAGCACGAATTAAAGCATTTTTCACACAATCTTAGAGGAAGAGGAGCGAGAGAATGGAGAATCGAAGACGGAGAACTGACAAATCTTCATCATAATTCTTCTTTCATCTATCTTTTCTGAATCTATGTCTTTTAATATTTTTATGATGTTTTTCGTAGAGAACATGAGTAGCTAAGCTTTTAATCTAGGATTTTATTGGAACCCTATGTGGTGATTCGAACCTATTTTTTCTAATATTATGCAAGTTTAAATTCCATGATTATTTCTTCTATTTGATCTTATTTAGCGCATGAACCTAGCTAATTTATGTTGCTATGCGTTATTGTTAGAATTGATTGATAGATCGTTTTAATAATTAGAACAGGGATAGAAGAACCTTCGAGTAGTTTTCACCGGATGAGTATGTTAATTGCATGTATTATTGTAGACATACAGATAATACCTTAAGTAGCCGTTTACGAGACTTGTTATTTAATGCTTTATTCATAATTGGTTTGCATAGACATATAGTGAATCGTTTATGAATAATAGACTCATAATACACCCGACAGCGGGTTATGAGTAATTGAGTGTCTCGGGTTAATAATTGGGAATTATAACTTGCATGATAGAGGATTAATTGGGTGACGATTTATCGCATAGGGGGAGATAAAATCCTAGATCCGTTTTTATATTGATATTTTCTCGTATTTATTTGCGTTCATAATTAGTTTAATTGTTTAGTTGATTAAATTTGACATCCTTGCATAGGCTGGATAAAATTCATAATTGTTAGAATTTGGTACTTAGGATTAGATAATTTGAGTATTCCATGTGGGATCGACATCCGACTCTCACGAGTCCACTTTTACTACTTGTTTGTGATACGTGCACTTGTGCGTTAGGTATTTAGACCAACAAGTAGCTATTTAGCTAAAAAGATAAGAGAAAATCTATAAATGAATATTCTAATATTTGATTTATCTCCTTGGCACAAAGAGATGGTTGAATTAGTTGTTGGATTGATGTAATTGACACTAATCTCGTAGTTGTCTAGAAAATTAAATCATAAAAGAAATGGAAGTTTGTGAGCAATAAAAGGAAAAAGAATATGTTGCCCCTATTCAAATCTCACATAACATGTAGCAGGCCACTTTTCTAGCCAAAAAAATGAATTAGGGTGCAAAGTGCCAAGCAAAATGTAATTGGAGGGTGCATTCTGTCATTTTTCTAATTTTAGGGTGCAAAGTGCTAATGGCGTGTAATTTAAGGGTGCAAAGTGTCAAATACCCGTTTAAACTTTAAATATCAAATGTCTTTTCATGTGCTATATTTATACTAAGGTGAGAGTTTATCTTCTTCTTATGCATATTGAATTTTCCATGTAATTTAATTTGTATAAGACTGCGTTTGAAGAGTTTTCCAATGATATATTATAAGCATATATATGTACAAATCTATATCTATATATAATATAAAGAGATGATTTATGCCCTATATGAATGACATGTGGCAAATGTCTATGTCATTCACTACCAAAAAACAGGGCTTTTGTGACAGAATATTTGTGACGGACCAAATCCGTCAAATAGAGTGACGAAATTAGTGACATATATGTGACTGGTCCAAGTAAAAAGAATTTACAATTAATTGTGACGATGGTGTGACAGATTTTGTGATGGATTTTGTGACAGACAAATGTCGATCACATTGCGGTCACAATTTTAGTGACGGACATTGATTATGTCACAATATCCGTCATATTGTTTTTATGGATTTATAATCTAATTAATACTTGTCACAAATCCGTCACAACATCAACTTTGTCACAGATGCGTCACATGTAATTTCGTCACAAATCTGTCATATCCTAAAGTCTGTCATTAATCTGTCAAAATTTTCGTGTGGTCGCATATCCGTCACTTTCTAAGTTTCGTCACATATACTATTTGAAGTGAGAAAAAGTTAATTAGAAATTAATTAATTGATTTTATACTATGAGTTTTTTTTTTCTATGTGAGAGTGAGACGATAGTTCATGTTTTTTCTTTAACTTAAGAATTTAAATCCTTGACCCTATTTCTCCATTGTTAAGTGAATTAAATTAACCAATTCATTATATAATACTTTACGATTTAATTAATTATATAATATTTTTTTGGCAACTATTTGATATAAAAATGATGTAAATAATATTTGATATATTATATATATGAATAATGTAATAGAAATATAAGTATTTCAAATTTATATTACGAAAATAATTTATAATATTCACCTCTCTTTATATATTTCACGAATATACTATTGAATAGAAAAAATAAAATAAAAAGATAGCCTACCTCCAAAAAAACCGAGCCCAGCCCAAAGTTATTTTAACAAAAAACCTACACTAATTCATTTCTTTCCAGTGGTGTACCACTGCTTAGTTTTATTGTAACATATATAATTAAAAAAAAAAAAATACTCAACTCCCACTGATGATACAAACCCCCATTTGAAATGATCCGAGTTAGAATGCGCAGATAACGGAGGAGCACGGGTGGGCCTGATCGATTTTTCTGATTGGGCGATAGCATAGCGCCGGACCATGGGCAACGGCGCTGTACTAAATGTAGAAGATTGGTATGGAGAAGATGACTTCCCAGCAACCCAAAACGGTATTTCTCTTTCTTTCGTACACAAAAATCCTGCATCTGTTTCTTTATCTGTCTTCAAATTTCATTTGTGTGTGTGTTTGTGCGAGTTCTTTCTTCTTCTTCTTCTTTTTTCCCTTTTTTTTTTTCTTGTTGTGAAAATAGTTCGAGTGATTAATCGTATTCCTTTCGCAGGCCTAAATGTTAATCTGTTGTATTTTAGACTGAAATTTTGAGCTTTAATGAAAATTGTGGGGCATTTTTCCTTGAGTTGGATTGTGTTCACTGCTCACTACATGTTTGACGAAACTCCGGAGGCTTGAAAATCTGAGTTAACAAACAATTTTTTGCATACTGGTGTTATGTACTCTGTTTCTTGTAACAGCAACTAGAAATTGGTGGTAAGAAATGGGTCTATATATGGAGTGGACAATGTGGGGAACGCTTCAAGTGGAGAATAAACCCAAGTGAAGAAGAGTACGAAGAAATCACAAGCAAATTAAGATTAATGTTCTTTTGTTTAAAAAAATTGACACATAGCATAACTAGACTATGGAATTACTGGATTATGCATAAATTGGGTATCAATAAAAAAATGATGATGGAAACCATTAATTGGTTTTGGGATGAAAATGATGGCGATTGAGGGTTTTTTTTCAATGTGATTCTATTAATTAGTCATTCTTTGTCGATGTATTCTGACTATACAGAATGAGTGTTCTTGGATCTTCTTATTGCATCAGAGGTGCAAGTCATTAATGTTTCATTGAATAAGCTAATTTGCTAATTTTGGTTTATTTTAGTTAATTGTACTTCGAATGATTATAATATAATGGCTTGAATTTTGTAGTTACAATTAAAGAATGATGTTGGTAGAACGAGGAGAATGAGTCCCAGCCTCAGTAATTAAAGAATGACGTTTATGATATCCTGATAAATTATTCACACGTTTTTCTGTTTGGTTTAATTATCTTTAAACATTAGCTTCTAAAAAATCATCTATCTCTATTCAGGGAACACATATGTGGTCTTCATCGAACATTTCGAGTTATGCAGAAGCTAGAGCAAGCACCCATAAGAGATTAAGGGCTTCATCATCGGAAAGGTTATTTTTTTTTATTTTTTAGTTGCTCTGTATGTTTGTTTTGTATTTATTTACCTTTTGTTCCTATTGAGAGGTTGTGCTTAGACGTTTATTTAGTATCGCTTCTCACTAATTACATTTCATATTTGTACTCTTGAGTATATATGTTTTAAATTTTTGTTCGTTATGTATATTTATGTTTTGATTAAATTCATATGATTATTTGCAGGATATCAATTGCTAAAGGAAAGGTTTAGAAACAGAGGACATCAATGGAGTACAAATACTTTGATTGCTCTTGTTTAGATTTGTATTCTTTTGTAATTTATTTAGTTTTATGCTTTGTTAGGATATATAAAGGTTAATGTTCTTAATTTTTTGTATACATTGGTAATTTTTATATAAAGAAATTATACGCCATTGTTATTTTTGTTGTTCTTATTGACGATACATTTCAAAGTCAAGTGAGTTATTGAAATACTTAATTAACATATTTAGCAAATAGTGTACAGAACTAAGAAAGTAATAGTAAAAATATTGTTTTAATAATTTGTGACAGAATTGTGACGGTTCAACACAAAATATAATTTTAATTAGCAAAAGTTTAGTGAGGGATTTGTCACCGATGTTTTGTGACAAACATTTGTGACAGACGTTTTGTGACAATATCTGTGACGGATAACCTTCGGTCAATTTATGACGGATTGGTGACAACAAAAATAAGTTTGTGACACCATCCGTCACAAATTTTATGGATCTTCGACAAGATATTAGGGACGGAATTATTTTTAATACTGACGGATATATCCGTGACAAATTAGGTGACGGACACATATATCCGTCACCATTTTAATTAGTGACGAGCCAATTTCTCACGGACGTGATCTGTCACAACTCTGTCACAAATACATGTTTGTGACGGATTTTCATTAATTTAGTCACAAAATTGTCCGTCACAAAAGCCCTGTTTTTTGGTAGTGATTCATTAAAAATGCTTAGTTGAAGTTCAATTGATGAGGTGGATTACTCAATTGGTTAGTTGTCATTTTTAATTTGGTATGTATTTAAGTTCTTTCCTATTTAACATTTGTACACTCATTTAAACATTTACCACATGATTATATATTATTTCTACATTTAATATTTTATAAATTCGAAAAAATAGTTTATTTGTAGTATCAATATATAAAAATATATTTATTGGTAGTCTTTTAAAAGAAATTCAGTATACCCATTACGAATATTGAAATAATGTTAAGATTTTTTTTTTAATATTCAAATATTAAAATAAAGGAATACAGTTGTTTTTTTTTTTTTTTAATTTTCAATATTTTGGAATATTCGAATATCCAATCAATAAAAAAATTATTAAAAATAGTACTGTTTAATAAATATACAATAATTTTTGTTAATAATAATTTGAAATTACGTATTTCTATTATACGTTCAATCAATTATACTGGATTGATTTATAAAATTCGTTTTTTTATTTTATTAATCTATTTATATATAAAACTAAGATACACGATCAAAATTTTCTAATTGAAGAGATTGAGTCCACATTGTTTTATTAATTTCAAAACAACCCTAACTTCCATAACCACCCTTATTATTAATGAATTAATTTCACATTATTGGTTTTTAAATTTTCTCTCTCCTACATGTCAAAATGGTGTCTTTTTATTGGTTAATGAGTTTCCTTTTTTCAATTAATAGTTTGTAAAAAACAAAAAGCGTAGATAAGTAAATGTAGTGTTAATAGTTTTCCCATATCAATTTAAATTAACGCAGTATTAATAATCTTTACGAACTATATCATCCGATTGTGTACTATTCCATTAATCAATCATTTATATTTCATTAATATAGTTTTATAATTTTACGTTAATTTATTTTACTAATGCATTAAAATTCGTTTTCAAATTAAGATATTAATAATATATTATGAAATTTATAATTTTATTATTAAAATAAAAAAAAACCAAAAAAAAAAAAAAACGTGTGTATGTTTTATGTATTTTAAAATTTTCTAAAATGAGGATATACATTTTATGATATGAAATTTGATTTCTTACATATTTAATTGATATAATTAGTTTAAGGAAAATATTCAATAACTATAAATATTGTTTAGTATTTTAAAATCAATTCCTAATCAATAGAGATCAAATCATCCGAATTGAATTGATTTGGTTTCTTACCTTTTTTCTTTTTCTTTTTCCACCTATAATCATGTCATTTGAAATTTGAATTCTAAAATTTTCCTAATTAATATACTTATCAAAACTATATAAACCCCCATCTATTCATTTCAGTACCCTACACTATTCTTCTTCACCCACTTCATTCGAGTTGTTTTTGTTTTTCGTTTTTTCTTTTTTGTTTTTTTTTTTTGTGATTTTTTTCCATTGATTTCATGCATTTATCATATTATAATTTAATTTAGATGGTTTTAATCCGTTCAATATTTTTTATTTAACTGATGAAATATGCTCATATTTTTTCTTTATGTATTTCTTGCAGATATTGTTTACGAATCCAACTTATGTCTTATGTGATACATTGTTACGGTTTGCATATAATTTTTGTAATTTCATTTATTTTATTTTTTTATTCAGTAACATGTCTCATGAATATTTTTTTATGTAAAAGTTTGTATTTAGTTTTTCAATAAATTTATCATTATCCAAAAATCGATTATTGATTTGTCAAGCAGAAATGAGAGAAATCGACATTGAATCATGTATTGTATGTGGAAACGTGGAAATTGAAGATTTCGTATTTTTCCTTGGTTTTGAAAAGAGGATTGGACAATATTGTTGTATGTACAAGTTTCACCACAATTGACATGTATCATCTTTAATTTTGAATGTTTTTTTTTTGTGTGTAAATAATAAAGAATTTTTTTTATGTACTTTTGCTTCATTAGTGCAATTTTGGAGTTTTATTTTATTTTCTTATTGTTTGCATATTTTACATTCATTATAATTTTCTATTTTATGTTTCAATCTTAATTTTTCTGAATCAATTCTCGGATGCACGGAATTTGACTTGTCCAACAAATTCTTATCTTTATTTTCTTCCAATTCCAAACCATAGACATCTCAAACATTCGATTCAAACATTTCTTCTCCAAGGACAACTCGGATAGCCTCTTTAAACTCGTACGCTTGTGCTTCTTCCGATTCTTCATCTTTGAGCTTGCTAGGATCGTATCATACTCCCCCTCTTTAAAAGGATATCGAAAATATCCTCCATGATCAACCCTGTTGTTTGGTGGTGATATTGTTCTTATTTCGTTGGGAACAATGCAACAAGATTCCATATTCGTACAACTAATTCCACCAACAATCGAATTGCAAGATTCAGCTTCATGGTACTGGATATTAAGAAGATCATCTTGATGTATTGCATCACCATCTTCATCAACTTCAATAATGGAAGTTTGCGCTTCGGTTAGCTCGACATTAAGTTGGATACATGGGTGGATTGTATATTATATATTTGTGAGAATAATAAAATTCTAGTCACTATGAGTGCCATTTGAAATTTTCAAATTTCCAAAATTGGAAACTTTCAATTCAGTGTACCTGCTAAATCTGGACACTTTCTCAATTTTAAAAGTTCACTAAATTTATACAGATTTATTTCTCTCTATTTATTCCAATTCATAATCAACAACTACGAATCTTGGATCTAATCACACTGACCTCCAATTATGCAATGATGAACAATTTGATCTTAGCTCATTGTATTAATCAAGGATCTCCAGTACACGAGAAGTGTGACCTTCAATGGTTAGGTGTATGCTAGCCATGGCTCACAACTTCTTGTGATTCGAACAACACATTGTTCATATACGGACTCGTCCCTAGATTTCTTATTAAGATAAAAGTCATGTTAACTTAATCACCGATCAAATCGGTCAATGCCCAACCTATCAAGATAGGGGTCTAGCTATTAGCATTATGATTTCCTAGATACAAATGAAGTGCCTTTAAGAACCGTGTGATATAGTTAACATACAGTACAATCCTTTCAACGCATATGTCCCGATCAAATAAGAGACATTAGTCCACCAAAGATCTCTTATTAGTTTGATGATAATGCGAACGCTCTAAATGATATAAGTCGTTCGTGTGTGGCTTAGAGAAACTATTCTCTATAATCACCCTGCTATCAGCTCTGACCATAGATTCCATGAATTATAAATTGATAGAACACACTCGACATCTAATATGACTACATATAATTGTATATGACTATAGCTGATTCTTTGTAATTGGTATGTCGTTGCCCATCTTCTTCAACATCGACTTTTTTAATTTGCTGCAAGGGAACTTTACACCGGAAAACACCAAAAAACAGACTGGGATCAAGTTGAGATAGAAGAATAGGGAGAAATATACTTTAACCTCAATTTTTTGGCGGTGGCGAATGACTCAAAATGATTGATCAAACCGCAAACACACAAAAATCGAAACAAATAAAAAAGTACCCAAAAAATAAATATTCCTTTACTTTGGTCTCCGATCTCGCGGCAGCGGCAAAAACTCGAAAACACCTCCTATCTATCGTCTTCCCCGACTTAGGCCTCTAATCTCACTTAACTCCACAAATTCCGAGGAGCGGACGAAGGAGGAGCGGATCCAAGAACACAAATAAAAATCAAAATCATACGTATCAACAGACGTTCATAAAAACGGATCCAAACAAAAAAAAAATCACAAACAAACACAAATTGATCCAATCAAAAAACTGATACATACATCTATAATCTATCTATACAAGAAAAATATACCTAAAGAGTGCGGATGCGTTCTTGTAGAACTATATCACGAAAAAAATCCAGGAACAGCAGCCATGAAACCTTGCAGCAAGATTCGATCAGACCGGCTATCGAGATTCAAGGCGGCGATTTGGCGGTCCGGCACAGCGAAGAGGTTCGGCAATAGAGATTGCGCATGCAATGGGGAAGTGGCGGTGGGCGGCGAGATAGAGAAGAGAACGAGAGTTGAGAGAGAGAAGAGAAATCACGACATGGTGTTAGATCGTGGGGTTAGGGTATTAAATTGTAACTAAAATGGCTAAACATGTACTTTAAGTTGTCCAGGGGGTCTATCAAATTAAGATTGGAATTTGGGTTTTTTACTAGGACGAAAAAATTCATTAGACCTCCTCATATATATTTTCAAAAACTAAGGGGTATCTCACATTTATAAAATAAATATTGAAAACTTCAAATGTTACAATTAAATGTTCATATATTTTTATATATTTTTCATTTTTAATAATTGTAAAATAAAGAGATACATAATATTAATAAAATTTAAAACAAATGTTTTATAAAATTTGGCATTTAATCAAATTTGTTATATAGTAAAAAATCCAAAATAAAGAAATACATAATATTTATAAATTAAATATATTTTATTAATTGATAAATCCCCGTATTAAAAATATAACATAAATTCAATAATAGTTAAAAAATTATATATCTTTCTAATTCCTAAAAACCTAGGGTATTTCTGTCTTTTCAGTATTGGTCAACAGGTAAAGTGTAAAATGGGTTGAGTGTGTTATTTAAAACAAATTATGGTGCGTTCCAGTGATATTTTATAACACATGGACTTTTTCTGCAGTTGGAAATTTCACGAGGTACTTTCTGCAAAAAACTCCATTATAAAATGATCAAGATTATTTTACTCGTTTTTATATATTTCTCTTAAAATCAAGACACATTTATCAAAAAGTTTAATACTTAAGCAAGCTGAAAAAAGACAATATAATTAAGGGCCCGTTTGGCTAAGCTTATTTTAAACAGCTGATAAACTCTTACGTCTGATAAGATGTTTTAAGTTGTTACATCTTTTTTTTATTAATAATTAAGGTATTTGGATAATGATATTATAAGCTATTTTTACTCCTTATAAGATCTTAAAAAAATGTGAGGTAGTGGTACTTTTTAAAAAATATCTTATTTGCTCTTCAACAACTTATTTATAAAAAATATAAGATCTTTTCTTAAAAAAATACCAAACACTTTAGAAGAGCTTATAAGATCTTAAACATCGTATAAGCTCATTTTAACATCTTATAAACTTAGCCAAACACCCTCTTAGAGAGAGACAGTAATAGAAAGTGATGCCTTAAGAGGATTATGCAATAGACACGTAATAGTGTAGGCATCGTTTGGTTGCAATGATAAAGATAATTCTCCCTAAAAAATAATAGGCTTATTATTTTATAAGATGTTTGTTATCAAATTTTGATTTTTTTTTATCTCCCCATTACTTAAAAGTGTTTGATGCTTACTTTCATTAACATCAACCCAATTACATGAAAATGACTGAATTACCATTTGTTATTGTATATAGCTTTTTTCTTCTTCTTTTTAATATTTATATTTTGTTATTATTATTTTTTTTTGGAATTTTATTTTATTTATTTTTTGAATTTTTTGTCTTCTTCAGTTTTTTTGATATTCTTTTTATTTTTCGAAAAACTATATTTTCCGATTTTTTTTTTCAAAAATTTTTTTCATAAAATTTTTTTTATTATTTTTCGATTTTTTTCAAAAACATTTCGATTTTTTTCCGGATTTCTTTATCTTCAATTTTTCTGATATTATTTTATTTTTCGAAAATAAATTAGGAAAAATAATATATTTTTTCGGAAAAATATTTATATTTCGATATTTTTTTTCCGATGTTTTATTTTTATTTTTGACAATTTGATTTCAAAAAAAATATTTTTCAAATTTTTTTTTGAAAAAACTATTTTTATTATTTTCATAAAACTTATTTTTTTCGAACCAAAATATTTTTCAAAACATTTGAAAAAAAACAATATTTTTGATTTTTTTTTTTATTTTTTTGAATTTTATATTAATCATTTAAAAAAAAATTAATATGTCACTGTGATAAAGAAATAAAAACTAGAAGGACAATTTTATCATTAAGATATCTAATCTTAGCACAATAATTTTATTAGACGTCTCAAGATCCAATTAATTATCTCCCTGTAAGCCAAGATCTAGCCAAGATCTGTAACCCAAGCCAAGATCTGCCATGATAAAATTATTTTGACGGGTCGAATAGGGCTAACAAAACATTAACCCTAAACCTTACTATTTAGTTAACCTTGCCAACCAAAGGGGCCTTGCAGTTTAAATATTGGGAAAATTAGCAAGACAGACACCCCCCAATCTAGGAAATGTGGTTAAGAGAAACCCCCTCCCAAAAATAATTATAGAAAACCCCCTTAGGTATATTTTCAGTAAAATAAATTTTTAATAATCTCCAAACTACCCTTATAAAGCCCATACCCCAATCATAATTTTCATCGTTCTTCGTTCTCTCTTCATGCACAGAAACACCAGCGGTGGGGGAGGACGAGGCCGTCACCAGATCTAGGGTGTTTTTGGTAGATCAGGCAGAGGACAGCGCGGATAGAGAAATTCGCGCATGCTGGACCCTTAATCGACTACGTGCGTGCATGTACGTTCAATAGTCGATTAAGGCTTAATCGACTATGTTCAATAATCAATTAAGGTTAATCGACTCCAATTTCTAAACAAAAATTCGAATTTTTTGTTTATTGATTTCAATTGTATAAATCAATTATAATGTTTGTATATTTTTTGGTTTTTGTAAAATATGATTGCTTTCGCATTTTTTTGTAGTTGTGATTTATTAGTTTTTAAGTCAGATTCTTAATCGACTATGCTTCACAGGCGATTAATATACCTAATAGAGAAAAAAAAATTAAAAAACGAAAAAAATTTATAAAAAATAAATAATAAATAAAAAATAAATAATTTAAAGAATTTTCTTAATCGACTATGTTTCACGGTTGATTTTCCTTAATCAACTATGCTTCATAGTCGATTAATAAAACTGATAAAAAAACAAAACAAAACAAAAAAAAAATCGTTGTTTACAGTTGATTTTCTTTAATCAACTATGCTTCATAGTCGATTAATAAAACTGATAAAAAAAAACGTTGTTGACCAGCGCGTGACGCAATGATGATGTGGAGAGCATGGGCAAAATTGGAAAAAATAATAGCTGGAAATAGGTGTGAACTTTTTTCAAATGGAGCAAAATATTTTGGACCTCTACCCATTAATAGACGTAATGCGTGGTTTTTCTCAACTGAAATGCTAAATCCCACACTAATTTTACCAAATCATGCACATAACTAAAAATATTTGTCTCTCTAAAATCTTCTCTTCTCATTTCCCACCCTTCTTCTTTCCCTAATTTTTTCACAAAATCACACACTAAAAACGTCCCTAGCATTTCAAGTTCGAATTTGACAAAAATATTCACATGTTTAAACTAAAATAAAGTTAGAATTTGAGGAAAAAAATCGAATTGATATGAATTTAAATAACTAGAAAGGCTTAATGAAATTGAATAAGTATTAAATAAAACTGAACTCGTTTTTTATGATTATTCACGTAAAAAAATAATGAATTTCGAGTTAATTGGACAAAATCATTTTAGAGATAAATTAGAGAGAATGTGAGTAGATAGAGAATTTTTTTTTTTTTTAATTTATGTGTGGAATTTAGCACGCCATTTTTCTCAAAGACGCCATAAAAAAAAATTTATAGTATCCTTAATATTTAGATTGATGTAGAATTAAAAAAGAAAACTAAGCTTACATATTCCTTATGACACGTCACACGTTATCAGTTGTGGTACAAAAAAGCGTTATCCTTGTTTTATTTAAGAATAAAAAAAACGGCCGCACACACTTCCGTTTCCTATTTAACATTCAATGTACCACCGAAAGTGCGAGCCAATCATAGCTAAGCTACTTTTCTTCATATCTAAACGGATAGGGACGAAGAAATTGGTCTGCTTCGTGTTTACGCCCACGTGGGGCCACGTGTACACTCCTTATTTAATAATATACACACGTTACTAACCACACACATATATATATATATTATTCCTTATTTGTATAAATTACAACCGGTCGAAAATCCCCCTCTTGTTTGAGTAATTACAATCAGTCATTAACTATAAATTTTCTTTTCTTACACGTCCACTCTTGCGGTTTCAAATTTCGTGGAATCTTCGAGATTATATGAAATATTATCATTTTTGTACCCATTTTATCCCATTCGAACTCCATATTTTGAAGCAAGATGATCATAAAATGTGTTTTTTGACTTTTATATATATATATATATATATATATATATATATATATATATATATATATATATATATATCCTCCAGTAAGTGCATACACACACACACACTGTGTGAGTAACAGGAATCTGCTGGTGAGGAAAGTCTGCTTCTTTCTTATCCACAGAATAATTCAATTCCAAAAGTTTTATTTTACTTTCTCTCTCTAGAAAATATAAAAGAAAAAAAAAAGACGAACAGAGATTTCGGAAAATGGGAAGAAAGAAGCAGGATATCAAGCGAATCGAGGAGAACAGTGCTCGGATGGTTTGTTTTCCAAAGAGAAGAAACGGTTTGATTAAGAAAGCTAAGGAATTTTCTGTTCTCTGTGATGTCGACGTGGCCGCCATTATCTTCTCCAAGAGAGGAAAGTTTTATCAGTACTGTAGCGCCGATAGGTAATTAACACCACCTAATCTTTTTTTTTTTCACGGTGAAGAAATTAATTTTCTATTTTTTTTTGGTTAATTACTTTAGTATTTTTTTTTTGTTTGTATAGTTGAATTTGTTGGTTGGTGGAAGTTTCAAAAGCCTAGGTCTCATATTCCTAAAATTGGAACTTTTGGAGATAATTTAGCAACCAGTTTTACGATGTTTAGAGCTACATGGTGGGAGTTTTTTTTTTTCCTTTAATAATAACTAGCATTTCACCCCGTGCGAAGCACGGGATATTATTCAAATAGTAAAAAAAAAATAATCAATTTAATATATAATAAGAAAATATAGTACACTAATATAATAAAATTTAATAATGTCGTATTATTCATATTGGATTTCTAGCTTTATCTCTTAAGATTTGAGATATATTGATGAAAATTAGGAGATCAATAATTGTTGAAAATTATAGTTAAGAAATTAGTACATAAAAAATATTAAAAATAAATAATTACATAAGTAGCAATAAGGTAGGATTCTTCACTGGTTAGTTTAATTTTGATAATTGTTAAAAATTATAGTTAGAAATTAGTAGAGAAAAAATATTAAAAATAAATAATTACAGAAATACAATTAGGGTTTTTTGGTTGCCCATCGTTTCTTTCTTTTATATATAAGATAATTATATTTAATAAGGTATTTGGATTTTATTATTTGTTTTTTCAGAAAACGTGAATAAAAAACAAAAAATTGGCCTTGTAAGTCACACACCCTTATTGTTGATCTTTAAAAAAAATAGTAATTGGATTAAACCAAGAAGAATTAGATCATATTTGATTACTTAGAATATTGGATATTCAATTTGGTATACTTGAGTTGATAATACACACCAATATGATAGTCCACATTTTGCATTGGAATTAAAATATGACTAGTAATTCATAACAGATTGTAAATCATTAAAATTAGGGGTAATGGCAAATAGGCCCATGACAAGGGCACTTAATTCATAAAGGGACATCCAACTTTTTTGTTTTTCAAATAAACCCACCCCATTCAAACTTATTTGCAAATAAGGAAAATCCCTTTATATATACCAAAATTACCCCCAATTCATTGAAACCTAATTCAACTCCAATTTCATGATTTACACCCCAATTTAGCCCAATTTCATCAATTAACCAATTTCAACCCTAATTTCAATTTTGACCCCAATTTTAACCCTAATTCTTATCAATTCCACCCATTATGCTCTAACTTCTTAAATATTACACATTGACCCCGGATTTAAACAAATATATCACATTGACTTTTTTTTTTTTTTTTTTTTTTTTTTTGGATTTTCGTTTTCCTGAATTTTTTTTCCGGCCGGTCAACGGCCGTTGACCGCCGGGACTCCGGCGTTGACTTTTTTTTTTTTTTTTTTTTTTAATAATTTTGTTTTTTCTTAAAAAAAATATTTTAATTAATTTTACTGTCTTGGCTGCTAAATTACTGTCTCCGGCAGCTATTTAACTGTCGGAGACTGTAATTTAACTGTTAATTGACTGTTTTTTTTTTCTTCAAAAATATTTTTAATTAATATTACTGTATTCGTTGCTAAATTACTGTCTCCAGCAGTTATTTAACTGTCGGAGACAGTAATTTAACTGTTAATTGACTTTTTTATTCTTAAAAAAAATATTTTTAATTAATATTACTGTATTCGTTGCTAAATTACTGTCTCCAGCAGTTATTTAACTGTCGGAGACAGTAATTTAACTGTTAATTTACTTTTTTATTCTTAAAAAAAATATTTTTAATTAATATTACTGTATTCGTTGCTAAATTACTGTCTCCAGCAGTTATTTAACTGTCGGAGACAGTAATTTAACTGTTAATTGATTTTTTTATTCTTAAAAAAATATTTTTCATTAATATTACTGTATTCGTTGCTAAATTACTGTCTCCAGCAGTTATTTAACTGTCGGAGACAGTAATTTAACTGTTAATTGACTTTTTTATTCTTAAAAAAAAAATTTAATTAATATTACTGTACCCGTTGCTAAATTACTGTCTCCAGCAGTTATTTAACTGTCGGAGACAGTAATTTAACTGTTAATTGACTTATTTTTTTTTTTTTTTAATTTTTTTCCTTAAAAAAAATTTGTTTTAATTAATATTACTGTCTTAGATGTTAAATTACTGTCTCCAACAGTAATTTAACTGTCTTAGACAATAATATTAATAATATTACTGTTCGGAAAAATAATATTCATAATATTACTGTCCCAAACAGTAATATTACTGTCTGAGACAGTAATTTAGTAGTCAAGACAGTAATATTAATTAAAATATTTTTTTTCTAAGAAAAAACAATTCAAAAAAAAAAAAAAAAAAAAAAGTCAACGCCGGAGACCGGCGGTCAACGGTGGTTGAGCGACCGGAAAAAAAATTCAGGAAAAAAAAAATTTCAAAAAAAAAAAAAAAAAAAAAAAAAAGTCAACGCCGGAGAGCGGCGGTCTCCGGCAGTCAACGCCGGAATCTGGCCGGAAAAAAACATTTCAGAAAAAAAATTATTTTCTGAAAAAAAAAAGTTTTGGGGGTTAATGTGATATATTTGTTTAAATCCGGGGTCAATGTGTAATATTAAGGAAGTTAGAGCATAATGGGTGGAATTGTTAAGAATTATATTATTGAGGGTATTTTAGACTAAAGACATGGGGATGGGCTTAATTGAGAGACTGTTTTTTTTGTGGACTAAAATGCATTTAAGTCCCATGTGATGGGCCTTTTTGCCATTTGCCCTATATTAAATGATGTACTAGTAGGTAATTGCGATTCATTTGAACTCGACGCCTATTTTGAAGTGTACTAAAGTTGAAAAATAATATAATAAAAGTATAACTCCATATTTTTCACATTATTCTTAGAAAAAAAAATTGTTTCATATTATTTAAGAATTACATAATAAATTTAATCCATTTGTTTAAATATATTAATAGTCATGTGCTTTCAGAGCCATCTTATTGGGTTTGTTTGATGCTACATCCGGTGAAATACAATCAGGTGATTATTAACCATTGATCTGCACACAATCACACACAACCATGTGTAATGTGTGCTCAATAAAAGATAATGGTCAACAAAATAATAAATGCAAAATTCAATCTTTTAGCATATACTCTGAAAATTATTAAGTTTTGGTCCTCCCATCGAACTTTTTTTTTTTTTTTTTTTAATTCTAATGATTTCCCTTTAAAATTTTGACTCTAATAATCGAAATTAAGTAACTATCGATTGGTCCCGACAAAACTAAATTTGAAAAAATTGAGAAAAAGAACCCCTAATAAGGAACTAAATGGTCTCGAACGGGTAATTTCAAGATCCTTTACTCAAACCTTGTCTTGTTGGAAGAAGTTTTGTTGTACTCGATCTTGCAGGTTAACATTGGCTACAAGTTCTTACTCATAATCGGCATATCATCTTTTGATCATGTTTTCTTCGACTAATCGTGCATTTATGTTTCCACCTTGATGTCGATTTTTTTTTTGTTCTCTTACTTACGCCTATCTAACATTATTTCCTATGCAACAAAAGTATTACAAATTTCCTCACTTTTTATTTAAGATGTGAAAACTTGAACTTATTTAGCCGGTCACGTTGGTTATTGGTCGATTGGTCACATTTTAAGACTCTCATATATAAGTGAAGATGTATTTTTATGTTAATTTTTAATTGAAAAAAGAGAGAAAAAAGAACAAATGGATATTCTATGTACTAAGGAATGAATGTGTACTCAAAATTCTAGACAATTTATGAATGTTTCCTTTTCGGCTTTCCAACATTCCATATTTGATAAAGTACATATGATTTTGTTTCTTAGTGAAAGATCATTCCATTTCTTGTTTGCCTTAACTTTATTCCAATTGCATTTTTATTCTTCTTTTGGTTTTACCTCAATTTTATTTTGTTTTTGTATGGGTGCTTTTTTACCTTGATCACGTTTTTATAGTTGTTATAAACAGCATGGCGCAGGTCCTGCAACAATATCAAAGTCAAGTCAAGAGTGAGAAAGATGGTTGCAATATAGAGGTAAGATTCACGCTTCCGGCGATGGGTTTTGAAAAAATAAATAAAAAGAAACTGAATACTCAGGTCTTACACAAGATTTATATTGTAAAAATATTGATCAGTACTGAAATTTGAAATATTATCACTCATCAATTAGGGAAGATAATTTCGTAATTTTTCACGAGTGTTGTATGACTGCTGGCCTTTTGTCATTTAAGCTGATGGGATGAATATATCATAAAATAAAAGAAAGAAAGAAAATAGGAGTTTGGTCGGATATTTCAACTTCACTTTCGTATATGCATAGATAGGTGATGGATAGTATTGTTTGATTATTATTTTTTTGGTCGATGATAGTATTGTTTGATTTAATTATGATATATAATTGGTGATATTAGTAAGTACATGATTTTGATTGATGTTTATTCGTTGAGATATGTGGTGTTTGGAATTTTTATGGACATCGGTCTCGTGTGATGTTTGAGGCCTAATAATTCTTCCAAAGATAGAAATAAATCTACTAACAGACGCGATTCATTACTTGGAGCTATAGGGAGGCGATTTTCTTGTTTGAAGTAAAGTCTCTCCATTTGGATGGTAGGATTTGGAGGAGAGATCTCAAAACCATAATAATAAATGTCCTGCACTTGTTTGGGTTGAGGGATCTGATAAAGAATTTCAAATCCACACTCGTCTGTTTTAGTTATAAATTGGGTCATTCGTATGGATTTCAAATATCTCCATATTGGAGTCATTCTAAATCGTTCTTTCAAATTTCATTCCCCAAATCAAATCATTCCATCCAAATGGACAGAGGGATTTGAAATCCCACACAATTGCTCAAAAAACAACTAAAATGACGGCATTGGATATGAAATTCCTAAATCAATTCCTTTCCAGGCGAATGTACCGTAAGTTTAAATTTTCATTTGCAATCCCTTCTTTTTTATTCTTAATTTACGCGTTTTTAATATTAGTGCTCATGATACTTTGGTAGATGGGTTTTGAATCTATTGCCATTTGCTCGCTCTCTTTCTCGATTCTGTGATCTCTTAATCTTCTAACACGTAACGATAAATTAGTCGACCAACATAGTTGATTTTAGTCGACCACCAACATCCATTCATATATACATTTATTTATTCATATACATAACAACAAATTAGTCAGTCCACCTAACACTCCCCTCGAGCTAGAGTCTATGAGTAAGTAGAAATGGCGAATTAGAAATGCCAGAATAGCCAGAAATATGCCCCGTTTGGTTGCCAAGATAAGCCATGATTAATTAAATAGTTGGACTTAATTTGATGTTTGGTATCCCCAATAAATTGCCGGGTCGACCCCCAAAATTATATATTCATGGCTTATCTTGCCTTCTAATGAGTTTTTTTTGTTGGATGTTGCAAGCTCCAATAAAATAATTGGGTTTCATTAGATTATTTAATCTTATCTTGGCTAATCTTATCTTGCCAACCAAACGGGGCCTTATAGAATGAACCGACTCTATGTATAAGAGATGGGAACATGGTTGTAATAAATAAAGAAGAAATTCTGCAGAATATACACACTAATCTACATATAAGGGCATTCATTTCACAACGTGATTGATTGGCAGGATTTGTACTCCAAAAACGGTGATTATCTTACTTATGGAGAGCTTCTCCAAACTGTTGGAAGGTAACTTTCCATTTTTGAATAATTTTATTTTCTTTTCGTTGAAAAGATTTCGGTGTAGTTACCTCGCAAGTTATATTTCTTCCCATAGTGAACTTAAGGAGCCACGTGTTGACCAGCTAAGTGTGGCGGACCTTGGGCTCATGCAGAAACAACTTGAGACTGCATTAATGGAGATACGTTCCACTAAGGTTTTCATCTTCACTCTCGATTATTTGTTTACAGTCCCTTTGTATATTCTACTAAATGTACTGTAGAAAACAAATGTGACCCTAAATATATAAAGTGCATCTAGACGAGTATTCTGCTAAGAGAAAATTCATCATGCCTCATTCAAACCAGCAGTTCGTCTGCTAATATCGTTTTTCTTCGATTGTCTATGTTTTTTCTTTTCCCTAGTAGAAAAATGGATTTTTACTACGATCATTAACCGTAGCAAAAGGTATCAAATTCATACTAAAAAGGCTTTTGCTACGAATTTGCCCTGTAGCACATACGGGCGTAACAAAAGCTTTGCTACGGTAAATGGCCGTACCAAATACTTTTTTCGATGAGCTGAGCTTATGTGGCAAGAATGTTCGAACCTCTTGAACATTATTAGCAGGCTTCTTTGCAGTTTCTTGTCAACCTGTTAAAACATATTAAAGTTAATTTCCAGAAAACATGGTATTGCTTTTCCGTTCATACAATATTGTGATGTCAGAATAATTTATTACTTCATGCAGACAAAATTGATGACTGATGCTCAGTCAAGCCTTCAGGAAAAGGTGCGCAAGTCTATTTTTGCCACGAGTGTGTGTGTGTGTGTGTGTGAAAAAAGATAAAAGCTTGGATGTTTTTGCGGAGAATTGGTTCATGTTAAGTAAGATAAGTGCTTACAAGAGCTTATATTCTGTGAACAGGAAAAGATGCTGGAAGAAGAAAAAAAGCATTTCAACGAGGTTAATAATAAAGTTGAAACCCTGCATACATATATATATATATATTATGTTATCACAAAAATGAATTTATTACACACAATTATTTACATCTTACAGATTGTTGAAGGCAATAACTGTGCTAAGAAAAAGAAGGTGGTGGTAGATCTCAACTTTTCCGCAGACGGCTAAATGACAAATAGAAGCATACAACACCAGACGGACCTCGTTCAAACTTTTATATGTAAAATAAAAAAAATATAATGCATAAAAATGCATGCAAGTATAAATAAAAGGTGCTAGAGGAATATCTACCAACCTCTTTATTATTGCATCATGGTGTGTAAGCTGGTTGACCAATGACCCCTCTCGTGTATTCGACCTTTTGTTAAATATTGCTCTGTTTTTAATGCTTTGCTTTAGCCCGCACCACTTTTATCATTGCATACAAACTTGTTAGAATAATCTTCACCTGAAAAATTAGGCTTCCTTTAGTTGTTGTTGACGTGGATTCACAATATTGCAGAGAAAGAAAAGAAACTAAACAATCTCCGGCTGTCTTAATGCCATCTTAGCCGGTGGACCGACCACATATATAGTGTAGTGTTCTTGATTTTGTCTGACCATGGAGAATTTCATCATTCCGACGACTCTTAAGAGTGACTTACCACTTAACTGCTATAATCGATTTAGCTGCATAGAAAAATTGACTTGCGATTGATTTATATATGCATCATAACTAGCAGCTAATACCTGCATTCAATATTTTAGTGTACTCGCACGCTCCATTCAAAATCTTACACGAGTCTAAAAAAACTCAATTATCTTTAGGAACACAGTTTTCGTGTAGAAGAGAACAAGAAAGAGAGAGAGAGAGAGAGAGAGATCTAGTCAGAGCCCTGTATTTAAAAACATTGTGCTTCATGCTACGTGTTTTTGATGAAAATAGAGTTTTGAAGAATTAATCATTCCGTCACACCGGTTTGTTCATCGGGTTATATCCTACCAAGATTATCTCTTTAAACTAGAATTTAAACTTAAAACGTACTTTAATCAATTCTACTACGAAACGTTGAATTCTCCTACACTTGATCATTTTCTTTCCTAGCAACCTCGAGGCAAGAACTCCTATTTATTGCATAGCATGTTGTATTGCATGCCCATGTTATAAACATGAGATGTGCCCACAAAAAAACATGATAGTGCAGAAAGAAGGAACAAAAATATCAAACAAAAATAACAATAGTTAAAAAAAGTTCTCCGTGTCTTGTACCACATTCGACAATTTGATTTTAGCTCTACTTAAATCTTGATTCATGTATTAGGTGGTGTTTGCAAATGATTATTTAAAAGCAGAAGTTAGTGATTGTGAGTTAAGCCAGTTTTAAGTGCTTATTTCTAAAAGTTGGGGGTGTTTGCAATTATTCCGGAAAATGAACTTAAATAGAAAAAGCAGGGTTAGGTTAGGGGTGCTTTTAAAAAAATAGCTTAAAACAGATTATTTCAAGAGAAGCAAAAGCAAAAGTTGATTTTGCAAACACCTGAAAACAGATTATTAGCAAAAAAAAACTCATAATCACTTTCAAAAAGCTTTTGCAAACACCACCTTAAACCGCACTTGTACCAATATTGCTCATATACCAATTATCGAGCCTGATTAGACCTTTTATGAATTTTCGCTTTTCTTTTGTAAACCGCACAATGTTAAAGTCTCAAAAAATAAATAAAAACTCATAAAAATGGATTTTTAAGTGATTCTTCTTGTTAGTCAATTTTTCAATCACCTTTAAAAAAAAGTGGTTCTATTATATATGGCAACACCTTAACCCTTCAAAAGATTGCTCCTTTATTACTTGTTCAAATTAAACGCACTACACGTGGTAGCCGATGCTTATCACAAGTATATATAAATATCCATAAAATAAAATCAGAAAAGAAAAAGGTGTAGTATCTTATAGAATTAAAGCCTTTTAATCTTCCTCTTATTTAACTAATCTAATAAATAAATTGCAACTATCTGTCATGAGGTTAAAGGGTAAATGAAGAGCATGTTTTGCTAAGCTTATAAGCTCCTAAAATATCTAATAAGCTGTTTAAAAGTGTTTGGTAAAAGAATTAGAAAAAATCTTATTTTAAAAAAAAATAAACTGTTAGGGAGCTTATAAGATGTTTTTTAAAAAGTACATCCACCCCGCCCTTTGTCTTTAAGATCTTATTTAATTATTTACTTAAATACTCAAAATACAAAATTACCCTCAAATATTTTATTATATTACATGAATACAAAAAACATTTATATTTTATCAAAACAATGTATTCTTGTAATCAAGATTAATTATTAGTTAAAATATAATTATCATAATAATTGTATAAAAAATATTTCTCTATTTACATTTTATATGTATATAAAACACCTCAATATTCTTATTATCTCAATAATAAATTATATTTCTTTTATCTATAAAAAAAGTACATTTCTTTTACTACCTTTATTTTATATTAATATACTAATCTTATATTATTATTTTTATTTGAAAAATTAATTTGTAAATATTATAATAATATTTTAGGAACAAAAGTATTTGAGTCAAATAAGTTTAACAGTTATAATGGTGTCATGTATTTTTTTGTCATTATAGTGATAAACATACATTTTATTTCCAAACAACTGAACAACTTATAAAATCTTAAAGTAACTTATAAGCTACATATCCAAACACCTTAAAAAATAATTTTTAAAATAAGATCTAACAGCTTATCGGCTCCTAAAACATCTTATCAGATGTATGAGCTTATAAGAGCATCTCCAAGGGAGAGTGCTAAAAAATGTGATGCTATATCTGTTATATCTTGTGAATAGTGTTTTACATGTTCATTTTTTACCCCTTCTACTCCAATCACATTAGCTATATTATAGCATTTTATTATATTATATTACTTTTCGACCATTTCAACTTTATCATGATAAAATATAGTATTAACTTTTGTTACTTTTTGATTATTTTAATATTATTTTAATTTAGCAGTCATGAATATGAACAACTATAGATAGCTGCTCAGGTTATTATTTTACATGGTCATCTAAATTTTACATGACCCGTTGGAGATGAGTTTTTTGTTGATAAATGGTATAATCCATAAATTATAGCTTTTAATAGCCTAAAAAGGCCATGATTGGAGATGCTCTAAGATGTTTTAAATAAACTTAGCCAAACAGGCTCTAAGTAGAAGTAAATTAAAGTCACCCATGAGGTAAAGTCAAATTACGAAAAACTCCTCATGTTTGAGTAATTACAACCATCTCTCAACTATGACTTGTTACGCGCCGCCCGTTATGATATCAAATTTAGTGGAATCTTCTAAATTATGTGGAATATTTTTCAGTTTGTACTCGTTTTACACCATTCGAGCTCTACATTTTGAAACAAGATATGTGTCGTTTGACTTGTAAATATCATCATTTTTATTACAAATATATTCTTTAAATTTAACTGTAACTAAAATGAGGTTTATTCCAATAGCTTTAGATATTTTTTATATGTTTACAACGTAATTTGTTAATATCAAAATGGGGCCAAAATTTACTAGTTTTAGGGGTTTTAGGATTATGGCATTCGTGTTTATCTAAAAATTGAAATAAGAAAATAATTGCTGATCGAATTAATCATGTAATATTTGAAAAAAAATAATAAAAAAATAAATAATTGATCTCCACTTGAGATATTTAGAGATATTTAATAGTTATATATTCTATAGATATTTTGTAGGGCAATAACACCTTTGTGAAATACTACTTTAGAGTTGTATAAAATATCTTGGGTTGATTTGACTTTTTCTATCGAATAATGGTGGGTTTAGAAGGATAAATAAATAGGTAAATTACAACCAACCCCTGATTTAAGATGTAATTATGAAAATTCCCATCTTTTTTGGAAAATTACATTCACCCCTAGGTTTAACGGTTGCAACAAAACCCTAAGGGTGCATTTGGATGGAGGGATTTGGAGGAGCGATTTCAAATGCATAATAACAAATTCCTTGGACTTGTTTGTATTGAGGGATTTGACAAGAAATTTCAAATCCACATCCCTCATTTTTTGTTGTTTTTTGAGCAATTGAGGTGAATTTCAAATGACTCCAAATTTGAGTCATTTGAAATCCCTTCCCCAAATCAAGGCAATGTTTGGAAGTGTTGTGAAACTTATTTTGATTTCATTTTGAGGAAATATGTTTTGGGGGAAGAATTTCAGAATAAAAGTAATGTTTGTTTATATTTTGGAAGGAGACAAAGTACATTGTAGCAGTCACATTATGTTTAAAAGTGTTAGAAAAAGTATTTTAGAAGAAAAAAATTGAAAGATAAAGTGATGTTTATTTGATTTTTAGTGAAGGCATTTTTTATTGTAGCAGTCACATCATGTCTGAAGGAGATATAAACTTTTGAGATTATTTTGAGAAAATTATTTGAGAAGTTTAATAAATATAATTTTGTTTTGGGAATCAATGAAAACAAAATAAAAAAACTACCAAACATTACCTCTAATAGAGAAAATTAGAGAACCCCCCCCCATTTAAAAATATAGTTAAGGAAACACCCCCTCCCAAAAACAATTAGAGAAAACTCCCTTATCTAATATTCCACCCATGTGATATTTTTATAATTCCAAAACTACCCTTAATTGTCTATTATACTCTTTCAAAACCCTAATCTTATTTGTTATATTCCATTCTGCCGCTTTCTCGTTTCTATCTTTTCTCTCTTCTCTGTTTTTTTTGTGTTTGGATTTTTTGTTTTCCAATTGTATAGATCATTTATAACGTTTGTATATTTTTGTTTTTGTAAAATATAGATGATTTTGCATTTTTTCACAATTGTGATTTGTTATTTTTAATAGCATATTCTTAATCGACTATGCTCTGGTAATCGATTAAGGTTGATCTACTCCAATTTTTATTTTTTTGGATTTTTTGTCTATTGATTCCAACTGTATAAATCAATTATAATGTTTGTATACTTTTTTATTTTTGTAAAATATGGTTGATTTTGCATTTTTTTATAGTTGTTATTTTTAGTAGCATATTCTTAACCGACTATGCTTCATCATAGTCGATTAATATATACCTAATATAGAAAAAAAAAATTAAAAAAGAAAAAGAAAAGAAAAAAAATTTAAAGAATTTCCTTAATCGACTATGTTTCATAGTCGATTTACCTTAATCGATTATGCTTCATAGCCGATTAATAAAACTGATAAAGAAAAGGAAAAAAACGGAAAAACAAGAAAAACCGATGATGACCATCGCGTGACGCAGTGATGATGTGGCGGGTAGGGGCAAAGTTGGAAAACATAATAGCTGAAAATGAGTGTGGATTTTTCTCAAATGGAGCAAAATATTTTGGGCTTCTCCCCATTAAAAGAAGTAA